GTGCATGAGATTCTTCGGTAAAAGACGCTGCTGCACGTGGTTCCTCTTCATAAGGTTCTTCTGCGGTGGACGCTTGTGCTTTAATTTCCTCTCGAGGCTGCTGCAAGGTCGCTTGCACCCGTGGAGAAGGCATTTCTGCATGAGGTTGGCCTGGGGAAGACGCTTCTGCATGAGGTTCTTCTGCAGGAGACAACACCGAAGCAGCCACAGACGCCTCTACTTGCTCCTCTTGCTCTTCTCCCTTGTCATCCTCCAACACACTCGGAATTACAAGACTGCTGCCGTTGGCGGCAATGGTGCAGACCTCAACGTACTTCGGGCACCTGATCTTTCCGTCTTTCTCAAAATCTTCCAACGTCACTGGGATGTCAGTGCCCTCAGGGCAAGGCTGAAAACCACTGCTGCCGAGGTACTTCACCTTCACTGTGCCCTCTGCACACGACACCTGCGCGCACACTCCCTTGACGTTTTTATGTTTACCGTCATCATTTTTCGACAGTAATTCCGCATCCATGCACCACGAGTCACCGCCAGTCAGCGACCCAGGGAGATAATTTACACCTTTGTCCGAGCAAGTATTGTACTTTATCCCAGACGCGTCGTGAAAGTACGAAGAAACAACAGGGCAAAAGTCCTTATCCGCAGGACTCCCCTCGTTTTCAACGATGATTGCGGTGCACGTCCCTACGTAACGGCGGTCGGAGGTGCAGCGAAGCGTCTCTTTGTCGGAGTCATTGCAGAACATGTGGGGATACTTGCCGGCAAGGTCCTCGGTTGCATTGCACTTCTTCTCCAGGAAGTCGCAGCCGGTGCCGCTGCCCCAGCCCATCGGCTCCGCCATGCTCCAGTTCACGCTGTAGTACTCCATATCCGCAAACACCGCCATCGTCAGAGCCGTGTAGTAGCCGGCACCGACTATGGGGGCCATCAGCTCGTCCCGCGCGTGGCGCTCCTTCCAGTGAGGGATCGCCTGTTCCCGAGTGCCACCTTCGTCCTCCAGCTCCATGCCCTCGAGAGAGTCACAACCAAAGTGCGCTTTCGCCTTCTTCTGAACGTGCATTCCCGTCACCATCTTGCGGCCCTTCCCACGCACAATGTGCCCAGAGGTCAATATGCTCTTTTCCTCCATACTCCCTTTACTAAACCCAAGTGCATGCGCAAGTTCGTGTGCGGCAACGCGAACGCTCCACGCCGTGTCAGTCATGTACTTTGGATCAAAGTTCATGGCGCCAATGGAGGGGCGAAAATCTTCCCATTTGTTACAAGTTGCCGCCCAAACAGCCTTGCTTTCAGTATTTGACGGCCCAGCAGAAGCGTAGATGACAAGGTCAGCAGCAGCCACACCGTATCTCCTGTGCTCAGTAGGAACCGCAAAGTGGTTGCACGGTTCATTCAAATTACTCGGCACGGTTATGTTCCTTCCAGTGGGTTTCACAAGTAGTCGCTCAGCGTGCAGTTTGACAGCACCTGGGAGAATCTTTTCAGTGTACAATTTCTTCTTTTCAACTGACAATACATGTTCATCTGTACAAGTTATCCACTCCCCCAAGAGGTTGTCGCACTCATCCCCAACCTTTTCGCAGTACGTCTTTTTCCTCCTCGTGCTCTTCAAATCCTCCGTGAACACCTTAATGCGGATCGGCTCCCAGCCACTGTTGTCATCCTGTGTGGCGACGGTGTACGCCTGCATGGTGCCCTGTCCCTTGCGCGGCACCTCACGCACAACCGCAGTCGAAAGCGGGCCGCTCCTCATCATCTCGTCCAATCCACGCCAGTATTGTGTGGCGGGTGCAGCGGCAATACACGCAGTGGCGCAGTACATCAGCAGCAAAACCAGCAATGGGGGTGGCGGCGTGGCATGGCGTGGCTGGCGCATGGCCTGAGGAATATGCATTTCTTGGTTTCTTGTGTGAGCAGCAGCAGCAGTGCAGCCTGGCTGTGGGAGGAGAGAGACAAAGGACAAAGAGGGAGAAGAAAAAGGAAATGGTTTAGTGCCAGTAATGCGTCAAAATGCGGCACATGCAGCGGAGTAACAGGAGACTACAGAGACAGCCATGCACACCGCGTGCGCACCAAACCCATCAAAGGGACAAACCGTCTATCCGTCGTTGACTGAGCGTCCATCACCGTCGCACGCATTCCTTATCGGCCGCAACACTCCCTACACGCGGAGTGTTTCGTCTGCTCTCCTCGCGGTGTAGCAATAATCGTGTGACCGGCCACTTAACAGCCACCAATTGCGCAGCGCCCGTTCCAGGTGCGGGAGCATCGCACAGCGTCCACTCTTTCTATCCCAACAGCTCATAGGGGTAACGCCACCGCACGGTAACCTCATTATAATGGGCAGCCCTGAGGCGGAGATGGAAAGAGTCATGCAAACAAATATATTTTTACTCTCTCTTGCGGTGCTCGAAAACAATCGTGACGGCGTTGCAATTATCATGACGGTTCCTTCCCGCAATGCCACTGGCCAAGGAGCTACTGTGAACGCACTGCGTGGAAGTCACGGTGTTCGCCGTTGCTCCCTCCAACTACCCACGACCACGCCGGCCATTCCCAGACGGTGGATATGAGCGTTGCCAAAGACAGCCACAAGCACCAAAACACCGGGCTCCACGGTGCCCTCCATCACCATCCGCAGCGTGCGTGCGTGCGTTTTCAGCGTACACAGCGCTCCACAGCGTGTGCAACTTGGCTTGTCTGTGTGTATATGAGTGTTTGTCAGCGCCTATACTCGCGAAGCAGCTGTGCGCCACAAGAGAGTCAGAAAAAAGCAACGGCAAAGAGAGGCAGATAGCACACACGCAAATTACACATATCATCACAGATACACGCCGCCAGCGGAATGGGTGCTCTCAACCACAAAACAATGAAAAACAAAACAAGAAGCCGAAGCGTGGGACGACCAGCGCACACACTCTCATTGCTCCCGTAAAGCAAAACACACACACACAGAGAGAGAGAGAGAGAGGTCGCCCACTCAATGCAATGGAACCAAAACAGAAACAGTTACGGTGCTCCGCCCATGCAGCCAGGCAGGACGGCAGCGGTGCGTGTCGTGCAAAAGAGAGCACCAACGGGCCTGCATGGGTGTGCAAGCATATATACAATGGGCACATTATGTGTGTGCTTCGTGGGGTGAGGTGAGGGCGAGAGTCCATGCAAGGGGACACACACACAGAGAGAGTGAGAAAAGGGCGAGTGTGTGTGCGGGCGGTGCACAGCTCTCTCTCTCTCACTCTCACGCGGCCACCACCGCAGCCGCAGCCGCACACGCAACAACAAGAAGCAGCAAATGAGGGGAGGTGGTGTGGGAGATCGCGGTGCTGCCGTCACTGTCGCCAGTTGGCGCCGTATCATTTTTTTCAGTGCTGTTGACTGCTTCTGGTGCTGCTTCACTGGCTGTAGGAGCGACGTTGGTATTATCAGCTTCGAGTTCGTCGTGGGTTCTTTTGGAATCATGCCGTTCAGGATCGTCACCATTCTCATTCACTGTTCCCTGGGCATCACCATTGCCATATGTAGGGATGGATGAGGCTGCTGTATATGCTGGATGGCCGGTATTTGCACTCTTTACCAAATCTGCTTTGTCTCTCTCTTGACTGTATTGCTCTGCCGCATCATCCTTCGAAGACGTTTTAGTTGCTTCAGAGTCCGTTTCGGTTCCTGACGCTGCCGTATTGTCATTTTTCCCTGTTGGATTCTTTGAGTCTTTCGGTGTTGCTGTTATTGTTGGAGTTTCTCCCGTTGATGGTACTGACGGTGTTGTTTTTCCTGTGGGTTTGCTATTGGCGGTCGACACGCTGGAGGAGTCTTTGCTATTTACGTCATTCTCCCCTGCGTCGCCTCCACTTGCACCCTTACCACGAGCTTCAACACTTATTTCTCCTTGTGTATTAGGAGTGTTTTTATTTTGGTCGGTGTCTAACGCCTCCGGAGTCTGCACCGTGGGCAGTGCGGGCACATTAAGCGTTTTTTTTGACGGTTCATCTGTTCCTGAAGAATTATTCTTCTGAGTGACTGAACTATCGCCGGTGTTCTTCAAACCATCACCCGCACTGGGAATAGGGGACGAAGATTTATCATCGGGAACAGGAACCTTCAAAGTGGAATCTTCACCTCCGTTAGAAATTCCACTTGAGCCACCACCGCCACCACCGCCACCACCAGTTTGACTGTCAGCACCAAGTTCACTGCGACCAATACCATCAGAATCACTGGCATCAGGAGGTGGTGGTGTTTCTGGCGCTGGTGGCAGTGCCGGAGGTTGTGGAATTGAATCTAAGTTCAAATTATCCCTTTCCTCAGAAATATCTTTTACGTCCTTCGCTTCGGCTTGTATCGCATTAATGAAGAACGCTGATCGCAATGGCCGCGTGAGCACGGTTTTATTGCAACCCCTCACCAAATACGACGTTTTCGCACCCAACCCGCCCGACGCCATGGAGCCACCCTGTGCGTTGTTGGGAGTACCCCTCGCATACACAGCGCCGGCACCGCACCACAGCACGCAGAGGGCACACACCAGCAGCACACAGCCAGTCATCATCATCGCCATCACTCCTGTCACTTGCGTGTAGCCTTCAGCACAGAATAACACCCCGTCAATAGAGAGAAAAAGCAAAGGGTAAGAGACAATTCACACAGCAACGCAACAATCACCGCAAAGTAACAACTGGCAGCACCCCAGCAGCAGCAGCGCACACACTACTAGGCACGTGAAATCACTACGATTCCAGAACCTGCGCACCGAACTAAAAACCAGAAGTTAAAAGAAAAGAAAAAACACACCCGAAGCTCCGCTGCGCGCGCATATGAGTGTGTCTGGGACGCGTTCAACGTGGCGGATGTGGGAAGCGACGCGGAGCACACAGCAGGGCAGCGGAAGCAAACAAAACAAAAAAAATCATCATAATTGCTCTTACTTTATACATCGGACCACAGTAGACGTACACATGTCCCCGTAGATGAGTGCTGGCCCGCACAGCCCATGCACCCTTTTAGCCCACAGCGGTGCACGCCAGCGCGGATACGGCGAGCAGCAGCGGGGCACACACACACGCAGAGCTGCTGAGGCTGCCGTCGATTTCACGGAGACGTGACGGTGCGCGGGTGGTCGTCGTGGTTGGTGCCTCTGCATTGCTGGACGTCGACGTTGGTGCCTCTGGCGCGGCGGTCGTTGTCGTTGTTTTGGTAGTCGTAGTTGGTGCCTTTGTGGTTGTGGTCGTCGTGGTTGCTGATGCAGTCATCTCCTTTTCCTGTTCTTTCTCAGACTGAATCGGCCCACTTTTTGCCCCTGACGTAACGGTTGTTGCAGTCGGTGGCTGTAGCGGAACGTCAGGAGTTTGTAGCTTTGACTGACCGGACACACCTGATGCAACTTGATTGTTGGACGACCCACCGGATACCATACCTTGCGCGTTTTCCGTACCATTCGCAATAACTGTTTTCTCTACTCTTTTGCTTTGTTCCACTTCTTTTTTAACTGGCAGCTGTGCCCCTGGTACCTTTGGCATATCGGGAGCCACCTGTTCGTCGACACCATTAGCTTTCACGCACACGGACGGGCAGCAGCACAGGACGAGCACCAACAGGGCGCACAGCAGACGGCAATTCGTCATCATCGTGAGTGTGGTCGTTCAGTGGTGTGGAGCTGATCTGCACAGTGAGGGAAATGGAGAGCAACAGGGGAGAAGAGAGGTGCGGCAAACACACACAGAGGGCACACCACATGAGGAGAGGGCGGCAGCCAGGCATGCACCGTACGCCGCACACCACGCACGACACACACTCCAATCCACGGCAACAGACACACACACACACACGCAGTCCTGCCACAACACCAACACACAGATGGAAGAGGGAGAAGCAAAAAGGAGCGGCACACAAGGCTCCACCGCATGCACATACGGCGAGAGCGGTCCGTCGTGTCTGCACCCCTCACGGAGGGTGCGCACACACACAAGAAGAGGTGCAGCGCACACAGCAACACAAAAGCAAAGTAACAATAATAAAAAGGAGAGATCCCCTCACACCACGTGGATTGTTGGTCCACGGGAAGTGCAGAAGGAATTCATCACAAAAATAATTCGGTTGTGTTTGGCCCTCGTTCATATTCAGCGCACACCACTTCATGCAAGCACGGCCACCACCGCAGCAGAAGCCGCACACGCAAATATAAGCGCAAGGAATGGAATAATGCAACCAATCATTTATTTGTGTTTTTTTTTTTTTTGGAGGGTGGAAGATGTCTGTATATGTTGTTATTGTTTTTGCAGAGGGCAAATCTTCATGCCTGCATCGTGTGTTGGGGATTTCTGCAGGGTGCACAATTATGTTTTTTCCTCTTGTGAATGTTTCTTGTGTTGGTGCGGCCAATAATTCGGTTTGTGATGTTCCTGCCTTTTGCTGGTAAATTGTTGCAGTAGATGTTTCCTTTCGTTGCTGTGGCACCTGATTTCTCACCGTTTATTGCGGTGGAAATGAAAATATGTGAATGGACTCCCACACACCAGAACGCACCTTCGCTCCTATTTATTGGTGCATGGAAGGGCATGTGTGTTTGGTGGTGTCTCGTCCATATATTCTTCTGGGTGTACATTCCCCTGCAGGCTGAGGGCGGGATGACGCTCTGTCGCGGTGCACTTCCCTCGCATGCCGCCCACTGTGGTTCATCATGCATCACTCCCTCTCACATACTCCGTGGTGCCACACCGCTGATATTACTGCAGCCGCTGTGATTCCGCGCACTTCACGCATTTCATTGTGCCACAATACATCCGCTCGTGTGGCCGCCGCATCCAAACAGCGGTGCCCAATACCGTGAGCGGCAGTCCACATCCCTGCTTGTCCCAACGCAGTGGTGCTTGACTGTCAGCCAGGCGTCAGACAACAAGAGAGTATTGTGCTGGCAGTACAACACACGGAGCTGCAGTGAATGACTCGGGCGGCGACGCATCTACTTGCCGCAAAGCAGTGAAAAGGAGTCGGGCAAGATAATGCCGGCTGCATGCACGACACCATATCCACAGCCAAGGCATGCGACGTGATGTGTGTTTCACTGATGCTGTGAAATGCCTGCAGACGACGTCACTAGTGGAGGCATGCCACCCATGATCAGCGGACAGACAATAATCGGCATGGGAGGCCACAAAAGGCAGCAACGACACCAGCAGCAGCAGCAGCAGGAGCAGCTCTCTCTTCCTCTCTCTCTGTTGCCTCCGAGAAGTAAATACTCCACCAGTCACAGCTGACTGTGCCATCGTGACACTCCATGCACGTCGTGGCTGCGTCAACACATCCTGTTCCCTGCTGCGCCTCAAAAAATGCCTCACTCCGTCCACTAAGTGCATCGATGCGGGCCGTGCCTGGGCTGTTCGTGATGACCACAACGATGTGAGGGTCACCGAGTCGCAGCATGTTTGTTGTGACGTTGTTGCATGGCACCTGCACACACACACACACGCAGCGCCTGCATCCCTCCCTGTTGTGTTCGCCCTCTGCCGGACTGGCCACACACACGGGCAGCAGCAAAATCATTTCACCCTCGACGACCCAAAATCAACACCGACATCCCTCGCGACGCAAGGATCTCAGTTGCCAGCACGGGCTTCCTGTCGCTCTGCCATCGACGCTGAAACACGGCACAGTGCACGCACTTATTTTCCTCGTGTGCAGTCAGCCGTTTGCTTCACACATTCCTCGATTGCTGACGTCCATAAAAGCACGCCACAAAAGGCCACTGTGATCGCACAATCTCTTGCGATGAGCGTCTGTGTGTGCATGGATCCGCTGCTCACACGTGCTGGCAGGCAGCCTGCAGCCGGTGCCCTCGTGCCAGTTCATCGGCTCCAGCACGGAAAAGAGAAAGTGGTCTATTCCCGATGCACTTATTCCCACCGGCAGCACCAACACGCTGGTCGCCAGCCGTCATTCCTCAGCACATCCAGGAATGCCGAAAAGTGAAGTGGAACTGCCAGCCAGCAACGCCACAATCCCCGCACACATGTCGGCTCCACCAGAGAAGACACACAAATCACAAAAAACACCCTTCACATGTCATCCGAAAATCATTCGGACACACCGCGACACGCCGAACAGAAGTATTCGTCACTCCATACACCTCCCCACACAATCACATAGTCCATGCACCACGCACGGCAGCAGCTCACACGCGGTCAAACAAATTTTCGTCGGAACAGTGTTATCCACGTGCTGCAGTGGGAAGTAAACAAAAGAGACGAGCTGCCAAACCCCAAAAGAGTTCAACGACTGGCCACAAGTCAGCGGAACGCAGCCACTCAAAAGTATTCAGTCCAAATGCCCTCAACCTCCCACCTTCTCTCACAATAGCCCCAAGAGCTGCAAAAGATTGAATACAAGCGCCCTGACAAATAAGCTCGATTTGCAAGACAAATAAGCTCGATGTGCTCCCGCTGTCATCCGGGGCATTTGTTGTCGCCTTTGCGGTGACGGACGCCAATCGTTTGTTCCAAACGACGCTGTGCGTCTGCAACGCGTCCTGCGCTCTGAGACGCGCGCGCCTCACTATCACAATGAGAATAAAACAATAGTTCTTTAGCCAGACCGAAATGCAGACAGTGCCATGCCTCCGTCGATGCATGGGAAGGCGGCGACGAGCATTCCGCTGCCGAGGGATGCCGTCCCCAAGGAACCGCGACGCGTTTGCAGCCAAATGGGGGTCTCCCCGGACCACATTCGCGCCCCTCATGCTGAGCAGCGAATTGCCGCCTGGGACGCTGTGCGCTGCAACGAGGCGTGCGTCTTCCAGACACGGCGTGCCCATGACGCCCTGGACGGCGTCAGACGATCGGCCGTTGAAACGGCCTGCGCCTCCCTGGGACCATATGACGCAGGCCGCTGAACGGACGGCCCGTCTCTCGCTGAGCATGCGTCTGGATCCGCTGCGCTGCCATTTGACTCCCCGGACGGCCGACCTCCCTGCGGGGTCTCCACCGCACAGCTGCTGGCAGCCTTGCATGCTCCTGCCGAGCGGAGTGTCTTTTCACCAAGCACGGCCACGGACATTTCTTTATTTCCCCGCCTGGCAGCAGCATCCCAATCGCCCACAAGAGTTCCTGCCGCCAGAAGCCCTCTCGGCGGTGGAGGCGCTCCGCCTTGGCCCGCTGGCGGTGCACGACGACGTCAGCGAGGGAATTTGCGCCGTGCCGCCTTCACTGGCGGATCGAGGTCGCGCAGTTGGCTCCACATTTTCCTCATGGCACTGCGGAATCCCACGCAACGTGACAGCGGACGCTGATTCCGTCATGGCACGATCCCTCCCGCAGGACTGCGCCAATGCCTGGCACGTGGACTTCCTTGCTGCCGTCAAGAGGTTATACCGGAAGGATGTCCAGGAGGAAAAGGAAGACGCGCACACCGCACGCCAGGCGCTTTTCGGTTTGGCGAGGACTCTCTTCCTGGCGTCCGCCCCGACATCGTGCCCCGAGTTGCGGCACTCCGTACAGGCGCGATGCGACTCCTGCCCACTCTTCGACAGGCCTGTGCGTGCCCTGCCGATCACAAGTAACTCCCTTTGTATGTCGGTGGTGCCATCCTTCCCTCACTGCGGTGACCGGCCTGCCTCCGCCGGAACATCTTCCCGACGTGAACACCGCCACTCCTTGCCGACCAGCAAGCGGCGGATTGACGTCCTCCTGCCCAATCTGCGGCTGAGCGCACTCGCCCGTCCACAATATGGAAGCACATGCCCGACGTACTCAGCCTGACGTTCCGATAGTTGAAGAAGTCCTTGCACGAGGATGCTGCAATGGCGCCAGCGTCTTTTTAACAGGCGCCTCGCGCGCAGGTCGCCACCGAAAATGCCGAGCGTATCAACGGGAAAAAAACGGACAAAGCACATCTGCAAGCTCCAATGACAACCATAGCCCTTCCGCCACCGCTTCATCACAGACGCCACGGGCTGCTGATCCCACGACGAACCACGGGATACTTCGCTTCATCGACTGTGGGAATGCCTTCGTTGTTGAGAGTAAGGACTGCGACTGTTTGGGAATGCCCAGCATGCACGACCGCCCGTATGCGACGGAATAATTGCCACTTTGGTACGGACGGCCCTTGCGGTACTCAGTAATTGTTTTCACAACACGCAACGAAAAAGCAGAAACGAATTATTTTTGTGATGAATATTGGCTGCACTTCCCGTGGACCAACAATCCACGTGGTGTGCGGGGATCTCTTATTTTTATTGTTACTTTGCTTTTGTGTTGCTGTGTGCGCTGCACCTCCTCTTGTGTGTGTGCGCACCCTCCGTGAGGGGTGCAGACACGACGGACCGCTCTCGCCGTATGTGCATGCGGTGGAGCCTTGTGTGCCGCTCCTTTTTGCTTCTCCCTCTTCCATCTGTGTGTTGGTGTTGTGGCAGGACTGCGTGTTTGTGTGTGTGTGTCTGTTGCCGTGGATTGGAGTGTGTGTCGTGCGTGGTGTGCGGCGTACGGTGCATGCCTGGCTGCTGCCCTCTCCTCATGTGGTGTGCCTTCCGTGTGTGTCTGCCGCACCTCTCGTCTCCCCTGATGCTCTCCATATCCCTCACTGTGCAGATCAGCTCCACACCACTGAACGACCACACTCACGATGATGACGTGCCGTCTGCTGTGCGCCCTGTTGGTGCTCGCCCTGTGCTGCTGCCCTTCCGTGTGCGTGACAGTAACTGCTGACGCGGGACAAGATGACACTAGTCGATTGCCCAAATTATCTCAGGAGCCAGGTCTTACAGCCGATTCTTCACATTCGAATGCTCATACAAACCCGGTTCCGAGAATTGCCGATGCGTTATCTCCACCAGTTAAGGCCGTTAAGGAAGGAAAATCAGGTGTGTCGTCCAGTACAGAAAATGGAGAAAGCGCGACTGAACAGACAGAGTCAGAAAGTGTGGACACCAAATCGAGAGGTTCAACGGAGAATTCCAGTAAGTCGGTGGTAAAAAAAACAGAGCAGATTCCGGGATTGTTAAGACCTAATGAAGAGGCTAACCTCCCGATAACAAATACGAAGACAACGACGACCACAACCACAAATGCGCCAACTACGACTACCACAACAACGACAAAGACCGCCGCGCCAGAGGCACCAACGTCGACGACCACCCGCGCACCGTCACGTCTTCGTGAAATCGACGGCAGCCTCAGCAGCTCTGCGTGGGTGTGTGCCCCGCTGCTGCTCGCCGCATCCGCGCTGGCGTGCACCGCTGTGGGCTGAAAGGGAGCGTGGGCTGTGCGTGCCAGCACTTAGCCACGGGGACATGTGTACGTCTACTGTGGTCCGATGTATAAAGTAAGAGTAATTATGATGATTGTTTTTTGCTTTGTTTGCTTCCGCTGCCCTGCTGTGTGCTCCGCGTTGCTGCCCACATCCGTCATGTTGAACGCGTCTCAGTCACACTCATATGCATGACACGCACACGACTGTTTAAGTGGCCACACTGTTGAGGATAGGTGTAAGCGCACTGGAGCCATTTGGGCGCAGGTTTTTTTTGTGTTTTTAATATTTTACTTTATTGCTGCTTGTTTACTTTTGTTTTGTTTCTTCCTTGCTTTGTGTGTTTTTCTTCTTGTTAAATTATTGCAGGTCGCTGTGCGTTTTTTGCACTTTCATTGGTTCAATATTTCTCATGAAACGCGTGCTGCTGGTGGTGTTTTTTGCTGTGCCTTGTCTTTTTGCTTTCACTCTGCGTTGACGGGGTGTTAGTTTGTGCTGAAGGCTACACGCAAGTGACAGGAGTGATGGCGATGATGATGACTGGCCGTGTGCTGTTGGTGTGTGCCCTCTGCGTGCTGTGGTGCGGTATTGATGGAGTTGCTGAGACCGAGGAACCTGAAATTGGAATAGTGCCCGGTGTGGATGAGTATTTGGTTGTGGAGTGGCGCTCTCAGCTGCGGAGGGAATGCGCGGAGGAGGTCAGCAGGAGGACGGGAGGCAGGGCGAATGCGTCCACCGTTGAGGAATGTGTGCGTGAGGGAATGGAGGGTTTGCGTGCCGTTGTGGATGGCCGTCGTCATTGGAGACATCAGCGGTATGCCGCTGCCGCTGCTGCTGTTGCTGCTGAAGAAGGGGATGCCACCCCGGAGAATGATGACCAGGCGAGGAATAACGAGGATTTGCTGCCCGAAAAAAAAGATGAAACACCGGTGACTTCAGGACAAGGATTAGCAGATGCAACAACAGTAAAGGAACGGACGCCACATAATCCTGCAGCCGCTCCTGTGTTGACTAAAAACGGAGCTTCAGAACACCAAAAAGAACGTGGGAAAGAGACAAAGAACGAAGAAAAAGCCGAGGATGAGGAGGAAGAAACAGAGACACGCGAAACAACAACACCAGCGGGAGGAGGAGGAATAAAAGCACCATCTGTTTCTGCTGGTCCTGGTGTCATTCTTACTTCGGGGTCTTCTTCTCCTTCTGGCGTTGATTCTTCATCCAGCATTGGTGGTGAAACAGGGCCTACAATCAGTACTTCATCCAATACAGTTGGGAAAACTTCGAAAGAAGATATGGCACTACAAGCAAAGGAGAGTCAACACGCCCAGCTAGGCGACGGAGAGGCAGCAGAAACACTCAACGACGGATCGCAACAAAACAGTTCTGCTCCATCACCAACGGGGGACCAAAATGACAACGGCGCCGCCACGTTGAGTGCCGATGGTTTACGCTCTTTGGGAGTACAAATAGCGGTAAAAGGGGATTTAGAAGCTTCCCGAACAGAAGAACCATCAGATGGTCCAAGTACAAACCTACCAGAAAGTGGAAGGGCTCCACCGGAATCATCACAAGCAGCAGCAGCACCAGAACCCACGCTTCAGCACAAAGTAATAACGTCAATAAAAGAGGAGACGGAGAGCGAGAACATGGATGCATCCGAAAATTTACCTGGGGCGCCTAAAAGAAGTAACGAAGATCCTGCATCCACAGCCACCACAATGCAGAGTACATCAACTGGCAGTCAAGAAGGAGCAGCTACGCCGTCTACGGATGGAATTCCTCCACTTCAGGAGGAAAAACTCATTGGAAACAATACTACTGAGAATGTTCAGCCTTCAGATACTGCAGGGACTGAAAGACTCAAAAGTGTAAATACATCTAAGGTTGGCGACAGTGACGGCAGCACCGCGGTCTCCCACACCACCTCCCCTCTTTTGCTTCTTCTTCTTGTTGTTGCGTGTGCGGCTGCTGTTGCGGTGGTGGCCGCGTGAGAGTGCGGGAGAGAGAGCCGTGCACCGCCCGCACACACACTCGTCCTTCTCTCTCTCTGTGTGTGTGTGTCCCCTTGCATGGACTCTCGCCCTCACCTCATCCCACGAAGCACACACATAATGTGCCCATTGTATATATGCATGCACACCCATGCAGGCCCGTTGGTGCTCTCTTTTGCACGACACGCACCGCTGCCGTCCTGCCTGGCTGCATGGGCGGAGCACCGTAACTGTTTCTGTTTTGGTTCCATTGCATTGAGTGGGCGACCTCCCTCTCTCTCTCTGTGTGTGTTTTGCTTTACGGGAGCAATGAGAGTGTGTGCGCTGGTCGTCCCACGCTTCGGCTTTTTGTTTTGTTTTTCATTGTTTTGAGGTTGAGAGCACCCATTCCGCGGGCTGCGTGTGTGTTTGTGTATGATGATATGTGTAAATTGCGTGTGTGCTATCCGCTCATTTCTGCCGTTGCTTTCTTTGGACTTTCTTGTGCTGCACAATCACTCTGCAATTATGGGCACTGACAAACACACAAGCCCACACAGACATGCTATGCCGCACACACGCACAAGGCTCTGGCTGCTGCGGCCCTCAGGAGGAGTGCAGATGGGAACTCGTGAATTGCCTTTCCGACGTGCTGCGGGTGTGATGTTGGCGGCCTGCAACAAGTGAGTGTTGTTGAGGGTGCCTTGAGCGAGTGCGGATTGATTCCTGCCCAGCTGCTGCACGTGCCGAAGTGCCTTTCTCGCTGTGAATTCGCCAACGGGGGTTTCTCCGCCCGTGCTGGGTGATGTGCGCCTGTGTCGGAGAAGCGGATGCGTTGGAAGAGACAACAATAATACGACTGGCGGCAGCGCATGGGTGCTGCGAAGGGCGACTGTATTCTTTTGCATCCCGCTGGTTGTGTTTTTTGCGTGGGCGTTGTTCAGTGTCTACTGAAGTGTGGCGAATAACGTCACACACGCCGTGGCTCCTGCTGCTGCTGGCGGTGACAGTCGCTGTGTGCTCCCGGTGCACTGTTTTTTCATCTCCTGTTCCGTATATCTGTGTGCGTGAGTTGTTGTTGTTGGGGGTGACTGCGGTGCGGATGATGATGGTGCCACTCACTGTGGATGGGTGGCTGTGCTCACTGTTTCATCCTTTTTTCTTGGTATGTTCTCTTTCTATTTCTCTCTCAATTACACACGAAGAAGGAAAACAAGCGCCAAACGCCACTGTGAAATTCGAAGGCACTGAAAGGACCAACAGCACACACACCGCCCACACACACATATTTATATGCTCTTACGTGTTGCCGCAGTCATGGCACCCCGCACACACAACCGTCGCTGCGTGACCGGATCCAGCGGAAGGAGGAGGGAAGGAAGAGAGAGTGAGCCGCAGAGGCCCAACATGTCCCTGCATTTGTTTACTTCCGCGGTGCTGTTCCTCCTTCTAATGTTCTGCGGCAGTGGTGAAGCTGCTGCCGCCGGGGGCAGTAAATCAAGTCAGGGAGGTTCGTCGGGAAAATATTATGTTTGGAGAGACGTGAAAGATGAAGAAGAAACAGTGAGCTCGCTCTGTGTTCCCAGTCTTTTGAAAGTGGGGAGTGATGTATTTGCCGTTGCCGAGGCGCAGGACACGAAAAAGGGTGAAGGCGGTTTTACTGGGATTGCATCGAAGCTCCTGGCGTGGACTGGTGAACAAACAAAAGAGGAGTTGGATAAAACAAAATTGAAGACACAAGTACTGGAGGAATGTTCTTCCGACGATAAGAAAGGCGTCTGCAGCATAGCGAATCAGGCTGTTTCCCAAAAAGTGAAGAATGTACATGTGAGCCGACCAACAACAGTTGTGAAGGGAAATGATATTTACATGCTTGCTGGAAATTACAGCTGGACACTTACCGCTGTTGGTCAGGCAGTTGACTGGGGACTCATGCTGGTGAAAGGGAATGTCAGTAAAAAGGAAGACGAAAAGAACGAAAGAATTTATTGGAATGATACTTACATTATCCCGTGGAATTATAATGGCAATCAAGGATCACTGAAGCGACTGGTTGGCAGCGGTGGATCGGGTGTTAAGATGGAGGACGGTACGCTTGTGTTTCCGCTGGAAGGGACGAAGAAGGAGGATGGCACTGAAGAGGATGGAAAGACTGTTTCGCTGATCATATACTCGAAGGATACCAAGAGTTGGAAGCTGTCGAAGGGGATGTCTGCCGGTGGCTGCGGTGTTCCCTCCGTCGTGGAGTGGGAGAAGGACAGAAAACTCATGATGATGACTGCGTGTGATGATGGCCGCCGCAGAGTGTACGAGTCCGGTGACAAGGGGGATTCGTGGACGGAGGCACTCGGAACACTCTCGCGTGTGTGGGGCAACAAAAAGGGTGAAAAGGTTGAAATCGTTGGGAGCGGGTTCATCACAACGAAGATTGAGGAGAGAGACGTGATGCTCGTAACTCTGCCGGTGTATGCCAAGAAAGCTGAGAAAGAGGAAAAAGAAAAGGGCGTACTCCATCTTTGGCTGACGGACAATACGCACATTGCTGATATTGGGCCGGTATCCGGGAAGGAAGAGGAGGATGTCACCGCCAGCTCCCTGTTGTACAAAAGTGCTGAAAGTAAAGATAAGAAGGATGAGTTGATTGCACTGTATGAGAAGAAGGGCGGTGACGATGCATCACACAGTCTTTTGTCTGTGCGTCTGACTGCGCAGCTGGAGCGGGTGAAGGAGGTGCTGAAGACGTGGAAGAAAGTGGACGAACGTGTCTCTCAGCTGTGCCCCACTTTACTTGCTCAGGAGGTTACCTCAAGTGAAACTGCCTGCAGTGCTGATGTTAAGATCACGGATGGGCTGGTTGGCTTTTTGTCCGGCAACTTCTCTGAGAACAAATGGAGGGACGAGTACCTCGGGGTGAACGCCACAGTAAATAAGAATGATGGGGCAACAAAGGCTTCCGATGGCGTGACGTTCCAGGGAGCGTGGGCGGAGTGGCCCGTTGGCAGTCAGGGGGAGAATCAGCTGTACCACTTTGCGAACCACAACTTCACTCTTGTGGCGACGGTGTCAATTCACGAGGTGCCGACAAAGGAGGGTAATATTCCTTTGTTGGGTGTGAAGATGGCTGGTGCAGGGACTTCTTTATTTTTGGGACTGTCGTACAACAAGGAAAAGAAGTGGTGGTTTCTGTGCGGTGGCGGACAGAACAAGGAGCACAGCCGCGATTGGGATCCGGAGACAAAGAAGAAAGACCACGTGGTAATTTTGCTACGGAACGGCAGCCATTTCTCCGCGTACGTCGATGGTGAGCGTGTGGGTGATGTGCCGTGTGCATTGGAAACTACGGATTCTAAAGTAATCTCCCACTTCTACATTGGAGGCAGCACAGACGGCGCAGGAGGCCAAGAAGACGTGTCTGTGACGGTGACGAACGTCCTGCTGTACAACCGCCCGTTGGATGAAGCAGAGATTGGCGCCCTCAACCCGAATAAAGCCCCCACTCTACCTCAGGAAGAGAAGCCGTCGGAGCATTCAACAGTTTCTTCTGATTCCGTTGTACCTCCCAGTCCTCCGGTGACCCCGAATGATCAGCAAACCGAAACTCCGTCTACTGCCGGAACACATCCGACGGAACAGGAACAGTCGATGGGGAGCAGTAAAGGTGCGGGCAGTGGCGGTGCATCCAAATCAGCGATGTCCACTGTCAGTACTTCCTCAGCAGAAGAGGACTCCGTAGTGCAGGTGACGTCAGGAACATCTCCCGATGGAACTCAAACGATGGATGCTGCTTCCTCGCATGATGGTAACACAGCGGTGGAGACAGAAGCTCGAAATACGGTGCAAGGGGATGGATCACCGCAAATTCCTGTGGGTATCTCTGACACAGCAGATGCAAATACTCCCACCACTGAGGGCGAGGGGCAAGATGGACCCACAGTGAATCCTGAGGCGGGCGCGAGCTCTGGTGAGAATGGGGAGCCAACGGAAGAAGCAAATGGGCAGGAGGAAGAGGTCCAGCCACACGACGGGGAAGTAAATACTACGGCACTCAGCAGCAGCCTCGGAAATGTGTCGCAGGGGCATAACAGCGACGCTGGCAGTATGCGTGAGAGCGGACTGCTGCCATCGCTGTTCGTTCTGTTGGGCCTGTGGGGGTTTGCGGCTCTGTGAGGAGTGGCTGGCTGCCGCGTGGGACACTTGCGACCTCCCCACCACCGACACACACACACACCTGGCAATGAATTTCTCTTCCCAAATAACTTTTATTTACTTTTCTCCCTGTTTACTTCCTTTTTTTGCGTTTTTAATATTTTTTTTTTAATGTTTTAATTTTAGTTTTGCTTTTTTACCAAATTCTTTTATGTTTTTCTGTTTTTGTTTTTTCTTGTTTTTTTCATCTCTCATTCCCGCATCCTTTTTGCTTTTGGGGGGGAGGCAATCACTATGGACGTTTTTTTCTTCATTTCTACTCTTCCTTTTTTTAAATTGTTTCTTGCTGCACTCTTCCTGTGAGGGGTGCCGTGTGTTTCCCGCCCAACTGCTCCACTCGCACACCCACCGACACGCTCATGACGACGGCCCTGTGCGCCTCGCCTGCTGCACGCATGAGGAGGGGCCGCGACGAACGGCGCGCTGAGGGGCGGAGCACACATTTCTTTCCCTCTTGTTTTGTTTCTTTGCGGCCAGGGCGGGCAGACACCCGCAGCGCCACACACACACACAGCCACACCCTGCCGCCGTGTTTTTCTTTTTTTGCTTTTCGTGTTCATTTCACGCGCTGGCAGTCCCGTCAGCATTTCTCTCCCTCCTGATGATTTTTTTCTTTTGCTGCGCTCAATCTTCCGATGGAGAGACGCGACTCCCGTCATGTCTGCGTGCTTCTCTCAGTCCCCACACACACGAGTGACTGTGCGCTGCGGGCCGCACTCGCACGCCGATGAGAGGGCTGAGGGGAGCAGCAACACGCAGATGACCCCATGAAATATAAACGATGTGCGGACACATGGAGGGCCAGACGGTTGAAGCACACGCAACCATCTTTTCAATTTTCTTTTCCGGGCAAAATATATACAGACGGTTTGGTGTGGCCACACGGCAGTTAGGCGATTTCTAAATTTGTATGGAACAGTAATGGACGATTTTTTTTTATTTATAATTATTTTGTGTGATGGGGTTTGTATAAGACGAGGGGGACGTTTTTTTGTTTTAAATAAATCTTGTGTGAACTGCCACTGCTTGGGCTGCTGTGGAGTCATGAGTTTGAGCGGTCTTCTTGTTGTTGTTTCCGCCATGCGTCTCTGCTGTACAGTTTTTGTTGTGCGTCTCTCCACATACTCTGCTCCCTCTTTTCTACTTCTTTGCTTTGTGTTTCCGCAGGCACACACAACCACACACACACACGATGCACATTGCAGTGGGTTTGAATGCTCCTTTTGCAGTGCATGCTGGCAGTTGCGTGTGGCGGCTGTTGTCTTCTTCCGTGGCCATGAGGCGAAGGAAGGAGGAGAGGGAGTGCGCAGCCCGAGTCTCTTTTCCTGCGGGTGTGATGCACCGTGTGTGACTGCGTTGAGTTGGGCTCCGTGTCCCATTGAGGGCGGGATGGCTGGAAATTTTGGTGGCGCGTCATGGATGGATGAGGGTTTGCTTGCGCGTGTGCGTTGTGTGGTGACCGTGGTGTTTTTGCCATTTCTCTGGGGCTGCGGGAATGAGCTGGGGGAGATGGTGGTGGATGTCTTCTCCTCCTGCATGGTGGGTAGCTGCTGGCGTTGTGTGCCTTCCTTGCGTGGATGCCGTCTCGTGGTGTGCAAACTGTGCGGCTGGGCCTGCTGCCCTCTCCTAATGTTGTCTGCTCTCTCTCGCCGTATCCGCTGTGCTCCGTCCCTCTCCCTCCTGTTCCATTCCTTTTCCTTCTGGCTCACGGATCAGCTCACTGACTCCAGCGACTCCACTACGGGTGATGATGACTGCGATGATGACGATGGTGACGGTGCGGCTCCGTGTGGTGTGCGCCGTGTTAGTCCTTGCGCTCTTGTGCTGCTGCTGGGATTCCTGGACATGTATCTGGTGATGCGGATGCGGTGGTTGTGCCGGTGGATGTGTCGTGTGCTCCGATTGACGGCAGCCTGAGCTATCGCGTGTGTATGTGTGTGTCTGTGGGCGTGGAAGAAGTGTTCTGCTGCCAGTGCTGAGGCTCAGTATGAGAATTACGCTTTCAGTGGCTTTGATGTGCGCATGCATAGCAGAGATGGTGAGCTGGGTGCTGTGTGCCATGTGGCCAATGCGGTGCATACATGTAGCAACTGTGCTGCCAACTGTGCAACGAAAGAGGAAGGGGTCACCGTTGCCTTCACGATGAATGTGACGACACATAAATACGCCGTCCCTTATGAATTGTGGTGGCGTCAATTTTCTCCCGATGGAGCCATCCATCCGTCTGCACGGAGCGGCGATGCTGGCCGGATGGGCATCTGTCACTCACCGCCACCCCGTGAAGGGAAGGATGACACAAAATCTGGTGGGACAACTGCTCCGCAAGTGAATGCTGAGCCGTCACGTCAGAACGAGGATTGGCGAGAGTCTGCGGCGGCTGACGGACCCAACACCGTCGATCCGAGTCCCGCATCCAACACGGCGACCAACACGCCTAAGAAAAAGCCTGAGTTTGCCAGCAATCCGAGCGAAATGATGGTCCCGAATGCATCCAAGAAGAGGCCTTCCTTTGCCAACGGTCCGAGAATATTAGTGGCATCGAATGCATCCGGGATCATTTCTGTCACTTATGGCGGCAGGGAACACGTTGCTGCGGATAGCACGTACGAGGTGAGTGAGCGCAACGCCACTCGGCACAAATCTCCTTTCTTCAGAAAATGGCGTCGCGGGCAGTGGATTTGTTGCTGAGGGTGATGCGGGTGGATTGACTCAACGCAATGCCTCTGGACACGAAAACCACAATTACGAGAATTCACCGCGCAGTATTCCGGAAACGGCGTGAGTCCCGACGACTGCTTTGCCCTGCTCTACGAAGCGAAATTGACACTGCGAGAGTTAACTGTTGACGGCATTGTGCGTGTGTGCGTTTATTGTGAGTTTCTGCTTCTTCTGGGATTGTGTGGAGTTGTGGCGGTCTTCTGAGCCGAAGAGTGTGGAATTGCGACTCCTCACGGAGAGCATGTGCCGCGTTCCCTGCGTGTTAATTTTTAATTGCTTTTTTTTGGTTTTGTTGTTTCCCTGGAATGACAAGTACCCTTTATTTATTTAATGTTTGGTTGCTGCACACTGTCATGTGTGACGTGTTTCCTTTTTGTTCTGTTGTTTTGTTGCCCGCACGCGGTGCCGGCCTCATTGCTGTGCGTCCCACGGACTGCACGAAAGGAGGATTGGAGGAACAGGCCGGATGCCGCATGGAATGTGAAGGATGTTGTGTGGCCATATGGAACAGGACGATCTTTTTTAATTTTATTTCTCTTCTTGGTGAAGGCAATATGTATAAAGAGAAACACGGTTGCCTTATGCTGCTTAGCATAAGAAATAAGAGTGCTGCCCCATTTATGTTTTTAAAAGTTTTGGGAGTTTTGTTGGACTCCCATCATTTTTCTTTTTTGTTTTGTTTTTTCCGCCTTTTTAAGTTTTGGTTTGTGTGGAGGTGTGCGAGTTTTGCAGTTGTGATGATTCCGTCTATCTTTTTTGGTGTGCGCTTCCTCTGGCTGCTGCCATTTATTACAATGCGGTGGCTGTACGTGGTGTAACTGCTGTCGCTCCCTACTTTTTTTCTAGGAGCTTTTGAAAAGAATGATCGTGGGAGTGCTGGCTAACTTAATTAATGAATGTACATCCTGATAAATGAAGGCATTCTTTATGATGCTTTCAACCGTATGAATCTTTTGGCAAGAACGCGACTTTGTAGGGGCAGGGAGCCGATAGAGGCCAGATAATATTTGTTTTTATTTTGCCATCCCACCCACCCCCTTTTGATGCCCACCACGCGGCGGGGTCTTGTGGTTGGAGGACCTCAAAGTTTGCCACTTCGTAAGTAATAATATTTCAGATCCCAACTGAGGACAAAGGGCCATGCTAGTGGTCCACAGAATTCTATATATATTGAATGAAAAGAAAACATTGAAGCAATTAAATAACGAACCTTTTTTCCTAACTTGTTTGGTTCCATAGATTATTTCAGGATCCGGCCAGCTGCCCGGAAGATTATTCTTATTCTATTGCAGCTCGAATCCACGTTATTCAACAACGATAGTTTCTATGACGATTTGCCGTGTGTTTTGTGTAGTGTTGGCGCTGGCACTGCTGTGCTGCTGCTCGTGCGTGTTTGCCGCGGGGGATGAGGAGGAGCCGCAGTTGCTTCAGGTGAATGCAGAGTGTGCGGGTAAGGATAAACTCGTGCGTTGGCAACTCCCTGGGAAGTCATTGTGGTACAACTGCACGGTTGAAGATAGTGGTGTGGGACAGATGATTTGCGGCATGGGCGACGGAAAATGTGCGTCCGAATCTGCTGAGAGGCGCAGCAAAGGAGTTCTGAATGATGGTGTCTTCACGATCAACGTCGATGCGCCCACTCCAAGCGCGGTGAAGAGTTGGTGGGAGAGTAACGTGGAGCCGAAAGCGGCCACCGTTGTAAGTGTTCCGTCCGAGCCTTTGGAAGCAGAACCTCTGGGCTCTCAAGAACAAAAGGCTCCCGGTGGCACCTCCACAACAAATTCCGAATCTTCTCCTGCTGTCGTTGAGGTTGCGACTGGTGCCCCTCCTCCTCCTCCACCTGCAACTCCGGGCGGCGCTGGTGCTAATTCTGCTGCTGGCGCTGCGGCCACGACGGATCCTTCTGCTGCGGCCTCGCAAGCGTCGGATTCCGCTCCCTCTGGTGAACTTCAAGGCGCTGCACATTCTACTTCTGCTGCACCCGAATCTATACCAGACCCGGAGCTCACAGAAGGCGGCGGCCACTCCTCCCATGACCCTCCAGTGGAGCTGCAGGAAGAGACACTTTGGCTGCTCCACCGACTCAGTTGTCCCAGACCGGCGAGGACGGGGGTGCAGCGGGAGGCGCCGAAGAGGACACCGCCACCAACACCACCGACACTGCTTCCGGTGAAGTAAATTCTACGGCGGCAAGCATGCCGGCTCCCCTTTCCTCTGCGCCCACAAAGAACGCGCTGGAGAACAGTGTGGGAACTGACGCCTGCTTCCATGACACCCGTCTGCATACCCTGCCACTGCTTGTTCTTGCTGCGCTTGCGTACGGGATAGTGGGCTGAAGAAGTGTATGCGGGCTATAAGTTCTAGCAATCAGCCACGGGATGCATTGCGCTTCTTTTGTTTTATTGCGTAATAAGTAATAGAAAATAATGATTGTGTGTTTTGCTTCATTTATTTTGGCTGCCCTGCTGTGTGCTCCATGTTGTTGCTTCCGTATCTGTCACTTGGCACGCATCCCAGACACACTCATATGCACGACACACTCACAACTGTTTGCGTGGAAGCATTTCTGTGTGAGCTGGTGCATGCACACTGGAGCCATTCTGTGCATCTGTTTGTCTCTTGTATTTTCACCTTTTTAAAAAATTGCTGTTTTTTACTCGTGTTTTTTTTAATTGCCTTGTGTTTATTTTTCTTGCTGATTCATTGCTGCGGGGCTGTGTGTTTGTGTGCGTGTTCTGCAACCGCACCGATTCCAACTGCCCCATGTTGTGCTGCGGCTGCTGCCGTTTGTTACTTTGGCTGTGCGTGGCTGTGTGACTTGTCTCTCACCCTTTGCTCTACGTTGACGGGGAGTTATTTTGTGCTGAAGGCTACACGCAAGTGACAGGAGTGATGGCGATGATGATGGCTGGCCGTGTGCTGCTGGGGTGTGCCCTCTGCGTGCTGTGGTGCGGTGCCGGCGGTAGGTGTAAGGAGGAGGCGGGATCTCCTGCCGGTGGTAAAGGTGCGGTGGAGACTACTGGAGCTTCAGCGTCAGGACAAGACAGCTCAGATCTAAAAAAAGTTTTGCCCAAGGCTAATCAATCAACAGAAACACCTGCAGGAAAATCTTTGGAAGGAAAAGAAGTTAACACTGATCAACTGGTTGTTGTTCCTGGAGTGGAGGATGAAGAAGATGGGAACCCTTCAGAGCAATTAGAAGAACCTGTGGAAGATGGTCCAGATCAAGAAAAAACAAAGCCGAAATTACAAAATAAAGAACAGGAAGTAACGCAGCCGTCACAAGCGCAAGTGGATTTGCCACAGAAAGCGCAGCCACTACTGCAACAGTCACAACCGCTACCCCCATCAGCGCCGCAGCCACACACTCCTGCTTCAGAAGAGGGTAAAGGTGTTGGCGAGAACAATACGGGTGGAGAAGGTCAGCCCTCATTGGGAGCACAAGATATTGGAAACGAGGATCCAAAGGCCCCCATAAAAGGAAACTCATTAAAGGATTCAGGTACAAAATCAGAAAACAGTGAACAGGTTCAAACGACAGTGCCAAAAACAGTACCGCCGGAGAACAAAACCCAAAATGAAATTTTAACTCCGAAAAAAAAGACGAATGAAAGCGAAAGCACGGATACATCCACGAACCTAACCGAACTACCGAAGGAAAATAAAGAATATCCTGCCTTTGTAGAAGTTACGGCGCAGAGTACATCAACTGGCAGTGAAGAACAAGAAGCTGAGCCATCTACAAGCGAAGAACCTTCCCCTTTTGAGGAGCAGCACTCCACAGGGACGAAGACAACTGAGAATGCTCGAACACCGGCTGCCGCCGCGACAGAAAAACTCCAAACTGGAGATAATGAAAAGGTTGGCGACAGTGACGGCAGCACCGCTGTCTCCCACACCACCTCCCCTCTTTTGCTTCTTCTTCTTCTTGTTGTTGCGTGTGCGGCTGCTGCTGCGGTGGTGGCCGCATGAGAGTGAGGGAGAGAGAGCCGTGCACCGCCCGCACGCACACTCGTCTTTCACTCACTCTCTGTGTGTGTGTCCCCTTGCATGGACTCTCGCCCTCACCTCACCCCACGAGGCACACACATAATGTGCCCATTGTATATATGCATGCACACCCATGCAGGCCCGTTGGTGCTCTCTTTTGCACCACACGCACCGCTGCCGTCCTGCCTGGCTGCATGGGCGGAGCACCGTAACTGTTTTTTTGTTTTGTTTTTATTGCATTGAGTGGGCGACCTCTCTCTCTCCCTCTCCCTGTGTGTGTGTTTTGCTTTACGGGAGCAATGAGAGAGTGTGCGCTGGTCGTCCCACGCTTCGGCTTTTTGTTTTGTTTTTCATTGTTTTGTGGTTGAGAGCACCCATTCCGCGGGCTGCGTGTGTGTTTGTGTGTGATGATATGTGTAAATTGCGTGTGTGCTATCCGCTCATTTCTGCCGTTGCTTTCTTTGGACTTTCTTGTGCTGCACAGTCACTCTGCGATTATGGGCACTGACAAACACACAAGCCCACACAGACATGCTATGCCGCACACACGCACAAGGCTCTGGCTGCTGCGGCCCTCAGGAGGAGTGCAGATGGGAACTCGTGAATTGCCTTTCCGACGTGCTGCGGGTGTGATGTTGGCGGCCTGCAACAAGTGAGTGTTGTTGAGGGTGCCTTGAGCGAGTGCGGATTGATTCCTGCCCAGCTGCTGCACGTGCCGAAGTGCCTTTCTCGCTGTGAATTCGCCAACGGGGGTTTCTCCGCCCGTGCTGGGTGATGTGCGCCTGTGTCGGAGAAGCGGATGCGTTGGAAGAGACAACAATAATACGACTGGCGGCAGCGCATGGGTGCTGCGAAGGGCGACTGTATTCTTTTGCATCCCGCTGGTTGTGTTTTTTGCGTGGGCGTTGTTCAGTGTCTACTGAAGTGTGGCGAATAACGTCACACACGCCGTGGCTCCTGCTGCTGCTGGCGGTGACAGTCGCTGTGTGCTCCCGGTGCACTGTTTTTTCATCTCCTGTTCCGTATATCTGTGTGCGTGAGTTGTTGTTGTTGGGGGTGACTGCGGTGCGGATGATGATGGTGCCACTCACTGTGGATGGGTGGCGGTGCTCACTGTTTCATCCTCTTTTCTTGGCATGTTTCTTTATTTCTCTCTCAATCACACACGAAGAAGGAAAACAAGCGCTAAACGCCACTGTGAAATTTGACGTCTCTGAAAGGACCAACAACAGCACACACACCGCCCACACACACATATTTATATGCTCTTACGTGTTGCCGCAGTCATGGCACCCCGCACACACAACCGTCGCTGCGTGACCGGATCCAGCGGAAGGAGGAGGGAAGGAAGAGAGAGTGAGCCGCCGAGGCCCAACATGTCCCGGCCTCTCTTTTATTCGGCGGTGCTGTTCCTCCTCGTGATGGTGTGCTGCGGCACAGGAGGTGCAGTCATCTCAACCAAAGTTTGAATGGAAAGTCATCACTGAGGGTGAAACTGTGAAATCTTTGGGCGTTCCCGGCCTTTTGAAAGTGGGGAATGATATATTTGTTGTTGCCGAGGCGCAGTGCAAGAAGAACAGTGAAGACATCATCGTTACTGGCATTGCATCCCAACTTCTTACGGAAACGGAGGATGTTGAAAAGAAGGAAGCTCTGAAAGATGCCAAAACGAAGACACTATTTTTGGAGAAAGAAGGTTCTGGAGGGAATAAAGTGGACGTGAGCCGGCCAACAATAGTTGTGAAGGAAAATGATATTTACATGATGGCTGGGACTTACAGCTCGAACCCTGCTGCCGCTGATGATCAGGATGAGGCTGACGTGGCTCCTTTGGGACTTCTGCTGGTGAAAGGGGCAAGTCAGTGATAAAGAAAGCAAAAAAATTGACTGGAAAGAAACCAAGGGTGTCACACTGAAAGCTTTCCTCAAACAACACGAATCTTTGACGCGGCTGACTGGCAGCGGTGGATTGGGTGTTCACACAGGAGACGATGCGCTTGTGTTCCCTATGGAAGGCATGAAGTCGAATAACGCAGTTGGAGGAAGAAACACCATTTCGCTGCTCAAGTACTCTTCGGATAATAAGAGTTGGACACTGTCGAATGGGATGTCTGCCGGTGGCTGCGGTGATCCCTCCGTCGTGGAGTGGAAGGATAAACTCATGATGATGACTGCGTGTGATGGTGGCCGCCGCAGGGTGTACGAGTCCGGTGACAAGGGGGAGTCGTGGACGGAGGCACTCGGGACACTCTCGCGCGTGTGGGCAAAAAAAAGGGTGAAAAGGTGAAAATCGTTGGGAGCGGGTTCATCACAGCGAATGTTGGAGATGATAATAAAAAAGTGATGCTCGTCACCCTGCCGGTGTATGCCAAGAAAGCTGAGAAAGAGGAAAAAGAAAAGGGCGTACTCCATCTTTGGCTGACGGACAATACGCACATTGTTGATATTGGGCCGGTATCCGGGGAGGAAGAGGACGCTGCCGCCAGCTCCCTGTTGTACAAAAGTGCTGAAAGTAAAGATAAGAAGGATGACTTGATTGCACTGTACGAGGAGGAGAGCGGTGATGAGGACGAGGCATCACTCGGTATGGTCTCTGTGCCTCTGAATAAGCAGCTGGAGCGGGTGAAGGAGGTGCTGAAGACGTGGAAGAAAGTGGACGAAAGTGTCTCTCAGCTGTGCACCACTTTACTTGCTCAGAAGGTTACCTCAAGTGAAACTGCCTGCAGTACTGATGTTAAGATCACGGATGGGCTGGTTGGCTTTTTGTCCGGCAACTTCTCTGAGAACACATGGAGGGACGAGTACCTCGGGGTGAACGCCACAGTAAATAAGAATGATGGGGTGGAGCAGGCACAAAGTGGCGTGACGTTCACGGGGCGTGGCGCAGGGGCGGAGTGGCCTGTTGGCAAGCAGGGGGAGAATCAGCTGTACCACTTTGCGAACTACAACTTCACTCTTGTGGTGACGGTGTCCATCGACGGTGAGCCGAAGGAAGATAACTCCATTCCATTGATGGGTGTGCATCTGGAGGGTAAAGACAAACTTATGGAGTTGTCATATGACAGTGAAAAGAAGTGGTGGGTGCTTTGCAGTGACGGCAAGATCAAGAAGCTAAAAAGTACTTGGGAGACACGGGCACAGTACCAAGTGGCCATTGTGTTACGGAACGGCAACCAGGGCTTTGCGTACGTCGATGGTAAGCGTGTGTGTGGGGATGTGCAACGTAGCTTGGATAATACGGATTCGAAAGGGATCTCCCACTTCTACATTGGAGGGGATGGAAGCAGTGCAGGGAGCAAAGAAGACGTGTCTGTGACCGTGACGAACGTCCTGCTGTACAACCGCCCGCTGACTTTTTCAGGTGGGAATGCCGAGGTGGAAGAGGATGCCGATTCACCATCGAAAGATATTGTGTCACCACCGGGAGATCCGCAGCCAACTGAAGCTGTTTCTCTATCCGAGGCGAGAAATCAAAAGACGACGCCTCCTGCAACGGTACCTTCTGAAGTTCCAGTGGTGCAAACGACCTCGCAGCAGTCTCCACAAAAGAGTGAAACACAAAAAAATACGATGGTGCGGGAATCTGCCACTACACAAGAAGCGCCGGCGAATACATCGCAGGGAAGTGTGGAGAAGACGGCGGCTTCGAACTCCCATGCCGCTGGAGAAGCAACAGCGACGCTGGCACCGTGCGTGAGAGCGGACTGCTGCCATCGCTGGTTCTGCTGTTAGGACTGTGGGGGTTTGCGGCTCTGTGAGGAGTGACTGGCTGCCGCGTGGGACACTTGCGATCTCCCCAGCACCGACACACACACCTGGCAATGAATTTCTCTTCTCAAATAACTTTTATTTATTAACTTTCACTTTTTGCTTTATGTGCGTTAAGTTTTTTACATTTCTTTTTCCTTTGTTTTTTTCATCTCTCACTCCCTCATCCTTTTTGCTTTTGGGGGGAGGCAATCACTATGGACGTTTTTTTTTTCTTTTCTACTTTTCCCTCTTTAATTGTTTCTTGCCGCGCTCTTCCTGTGAGGGGTGCCGTGTGTTTCCCGCCCAACTGCTCCACTCGCACGCCCACCGACACGCGCATGACGACGGCCCTGTGCGCCTCGCCTGCTGCACGCATGAGGAGGGGCCGCGACGAACGGCGCGCTGAGGGAGCCGTGACGTGTGGGCGTGCGACGAGGGCCTGTGGGGCGGAGCACACATTTCTTTCCCTCTTGTTTTGTTTTCTTTGCGGCCAGGGCGGGCAGACACCCGCAGCGCCACATACACAGCCACACTCTGCCGCCGTGTTTTTCTTTTCTGTGGACGGGAGTGTGCTGCTAATACCGTGCGGTGATGGAGGGCGGAGAGCTGTGCCAGACGTATTGCCGACGGACCACTGTGCATCCTCAGTGAATTCCCTACTTAATGGCTGTCTTCCGCACACTGTAATGAGCGAAGTGTTTCCCCCTCTTTGTTCTGTTGTTTTGTTGCCCACACGCGGTGCCGGCCCTGCGGCTGTGCGTCCCATGGACTGCACGAAACGATGATTGGAAGAACAGGCCGGATACCGCATGAAATGTGGAGGATGTTGTGTGGGCTGGTGGGACAGTAAAGTCCTTTATTGACCTCTTTTTATTGTTGAGGGCAATATGTATACACAAACACACGGTCGTATTGTGCTGCTTGGCACCTGAAATAAACGTCTTTCCGAATCATGGATTTTACTTTTTTATTTTGTTTGGGAGTTCTTCTGGACTCTCACCCTTTTTTCTTTTGTTTTTGTTAAATCACTGCGGCTCATTTTTTTGTTTGTGCTGTCTTCACTGCCGCTGAGTGTCTCCGCGTCCCGTTGAGTGTCTCTCTGCTGGCTGTGCTGTTGACATGCCCTCATTTCTTTTTCTTTTTCTTTTCTGTTAGAGGCATCGATGGTCCGCGACGACGGTTGTTTGTGCTCCCCATTGCGATGGCACGAGGGTGACTGTGCGCCGGACTTC